TCGATTATTCGTCTTTTTTCCAAAACCCATTCCACTTGTGTCACAACATCAAGAAGCACAACTCGACTTGGAGGAGCAGCTCGGTAAAATACGTAGAAAACATTTAAGCACCGAACATTCACTTATTGGAATCAAATATGATAAACTGTCCTTCCCTGAATAACGTAAGATAATTGGAAAAGGCCTTGAAAACTTCGAAAAACTCAAAACTTTTATTAAGAGGTCAATATTTGCATGAAACATAAAAAACGGTTTATTCGATATTCGAAAAAAGAAGATTTCAAAACCGCCTGCAGTACAGATATCCAAAAAAAACCGGAAGAAACCGGTTTAGAAAAGCCGTATCAATCACCCTAGTAGGTAGATATGTAGTACTAATTTTTCTTTAAGACTTCGAGCCGGTTTTTAGTGGGTTCGGTGTACAACTATGTATTGTCAAATGTTTTTCTGCTATAAAACGTAGCACATTAAAATCATTCAACATTTGCAGGCGGTGTAAAGCTGTATGTCTTTCGAATGGTGTTTATACAACACCAAGACCGATGCCTACAGCCCCTTCCTTATTTAATTCTTGAATGTATGACCTGAACGTTTTAAAAACGGGGCATCATTTTTTGGTTTTTTAAAAGGTGGACAAAAAAAGTTATACCAACTTGACTCTTACAATTCAAGTGTGTGTACCAAAAAGTGACACCGTGCAGTCTAGTATCATATTTTTGCAGTAGTTTTTTTCACTAACGGATCCTTAGTCTCATTTACACGCGCTTTGGAAAAATTTCGTGTTATTAAAAAGGGAAAATTTACGTGAAAAAAGTTTTTACACTGAGTGGTCTACCAACACCTCATGTAAATATGTATGTGCCGCATTTATGAGTTTTTTAACGATAAAAATATTATAGTATGTGATGCATTTGTGGGTTTTTTCTTACGATAAAAATAGTCAGTTACAACTTGGTTACAACATTTTGGCTCTGAAGGTAGTATGTTATAAAAAATTCTTTGTGATTTAAGAGTCATTGAAAAAGAACAATGGAAATTTGTTCTAATTTTGCTAATTTTTTCCGTAATAGATCTTAAAGGTCTGATTATGAATACTTCGCGTAACTTCGTACAACCATTTGTACCAGTGCTATAGAAGTGTTACTCAAGAAAATGTGAAGCAAAATTTAAACTCAACAGAGCGCTAAGTTTTTAAAAGTTCTGCTAATTTCTGGGTAATGGAATATGTACATACAAATTACATACGAAATTACAGTTTGAAGTTTATGCGAAGTTGTGCGAAGTTATGCGAAGTATGCATAATCAGACCATAACACTTTCTTTGATGATCTTAGATGTATATATTAGCCCTGAAACAGCATCCTTATAGTAACATTGTAGGATATATTTTCTCGAGATTTTTACTCCAAAAAATTTTTTGAAAAAGCTTCGTTAAATTTTAGTATGATAAAGTGCAAGTTTTAAGTATCTAGGACTTACCGTTAATTTTTGGCAATTTTTTTGTCGACGGTGCTACGCATTTTTTTCATGCAAGGTTAGTATGCTCGACAATTTGTTGATAGGGAAGAAAATGAGCAGCACGTTGCACTTGCACTTTATTATACTAAATTTTAATGAGCTACAAAACAGCAACCAAATTTTTTTCTAAAGGTTCTGATTAAAAAGTTTGAAATTTTGGTGAAAATTTACAGAATTAATTCCCATAGTTTTTGCACAAAGTCGGACATTTCGATTTATATGGTTTTTGTTATTAAAAGAGCTTTACTTAAAAAAAAAATAATAAAAATTAAATAAACAAAAGAAAAATAGCCGAACCTTTCTAAAATGTAGAATCCTAATTTATATTTTGGTCACTGTATGTTCTCCTCGATTCGAAACACAGGCAATAGTCGGATATACATATTTATCTTCGGAATTTTAATGCCGTCCTGCCCTAGGATTGTTCTATACCGAAAAAATAAAGCCCTATTTTTTATTTTGAAATCAAAAAAATTTAAAGAGTGCTCAAAGCGCTTAAAGTTTTCCATGTATTTTATATCGGAGAAAAAACAACTTTTCGTAGAAATGGTACAGAATTCTTGAAAATCACTATTTTTCGTTCGGAAAACGCTGGTTCTCTTCAGGAGTATTCCAATAATAATATACAATTGCTTATGTAACCATGTTTTAATAAGTTTTAATACTAAAGATTTTTATTGGTCCCACATTGCAAAGCTGCGCTCAGCTTCGTTCAGTGTAAACACCAACAACTTTCCATCGCTCTGCCTTGCTTCGATGGGCGCCGCTGGGCTTTCTTATGAACTGATCCTTACGTTTCTAGAAATTTTTATTTATTTTTCTAACATATAGAGCTCGTGGATTTGTCACAGATCTGATGAATTAAGTTCGACGATTTATTAAAAAAGATCTAACTACGCCTGCTTCAAAGCAGCTTATAGCATAACTTAAAAAAATAAGCTAACTTCAAGAATTTTATGAAAATCTTGTCGTGGAGTTGTACTCTAACAAACATAAAACTCAACATAAGTTAAATACATACATACATATGTACTTGTGAAACTTAAACGAACACCTGTCATTCGGTATTTGAACTCTTTACATATCTCATTTGCGTTGGTGTTAATTTGAATGTTTGCAGCTCTAACTAATTTTTCTTCTGCCGTCTTAACTGTCACTTTGTTGAAACGCATCACAGTCATTCTTGTGCTCATCGGCAGCTGTACTAGGGGCAGCACTCTTGTTTGTTTGTGCATCTGTTTTATCAATTGCTTACAAACCAAATTGCTTAGTTCATTTTTTGTTATTTGTTTTTTTTTTATTATTCAGTCGCCTGCCTTTCGTTTTATGTTGTTGCCGGTCGTCGAATTCATTGCATATTTGTTGCTTTTGTAGTGAAAATAGAAAGTGGTCCATAGTGCTCTCACTTTGTCGCTACAGCGCGCATTGATTTGTGCAACGGTAAATTTTTCAATGTCTTAGCAATGTGAATGCCAAACCGCAAATCGCGGTTTAAACTAAGAAAGATCTTTGCAATGTAGTATGTATGTATGGGCATGTATATATGTATGTATGTGTAAAATTTCAAAAATAAAATAATTTTTTGTCTTAATAATTAATGACTGATGGATTAGTTAATGAATTATTTATAATTCAATAGTCAAAAACATATGCTAAATAACCTCAGGGCTCAAAGGAGGGGAGGAAAATACTTGCCGTGTTGGTAAAATTGCTAAAAACAAATATTTTGTCAAGAAAGAATTACTGGCAAATTTATGTGGTTAGCCGAATTTCTCTGAATTCCATTATCAGAAACAGTTATCGATGAGAAAAATTTGTGATTTCAGTAAGGTAAAGATTATTCAATTTTGATAATACAACTGTCGATGTAAATATCTATAAATATATCGATAACATTGTCAATAAATATATCGTTAAAGTTTGACAGATACCTACGTGTACATGTATATCGCAAACGATACCGATATTTACACTATAGAGAGACAAAGGTCGTTTCAACCGCATACTCCATTCTATGACGTCATAAAATACCTTTCTATACCTTTGATGAATAATAAATGGTATTAAAGTGCTCTCGCAATTACGTAAACACAGCCTTACGCGAACACCGCTTATCGTGAAAACTAGGGTGTGCGATTATTCGCTTTTTTCCAAACCCGGGTTAGAGTCATTCAAATTAAGCAAAAACCGGACAAACCGGTTTTATTTCTAAAATCTATAAAAATAACCATATGACTGCTAAAAATAGATATAGCCTTAATTTAGAAATCAATTAGGCAAAATACGAGCAAGTTCGAAGTATTTTCGATAACAAGTAAAACTGAGTGAAAAATTCACACTACCAGGCCTATTCTACGTTGGTAACAAAAATTATCTTACCGCTAAATAAAGTTCCTGTCAATCTTTAAACCGTTTCGTATTCTGCGCACTCTTGTGCCCAGTAAATTTTGTTACCAACTCATAAGCAACACCAGAATTTCTACCAAACTACGAAATTTTGCTGAATGAATTAAAATGTTACCAAGGTACCTACAATTGCGGTTGCAAGAATTGGTGTAATTATTTGATAATAAAACTTCCCGGTAACAAAATGTTCTGTAACAAGCAGAATTGGTCTGTTAATGTGGTTCACTGATCTTAACAAGATAATATCGCTAAAACAACAGTCTTTTGTTGGGGAAAACTCGAGCAAGTAGACTATCCGTATTTAGAACAAGATCGACTATAAAAATACTCATATAGTACATATACTTAGACAGGCCATTCATCGAGAATCAATCAACACCTTCATCTACTCTTAGCCCATGAATACGCTAAATATCACAGACGAAGTGTTCGAGTTGGTCCGTGAGGCTAGCGATACTTTGACAGAACTCAATTCTGGATATTGTAGCAAGTTAAACTGTTCAGTCTAATTTTAATAATATGCCCCGCCGATACTAATCATCTCTTCACATCGGATCTGCCCTATTCCTAAGCCTGCCGTTAGATGAGAATGGAGACAACATGTAGACAATTCGCTAAGGTTTATCACAATCCGGTGCATAGGGTCTTGCATTTGCATTTTTCGGCGAATTTTTCGGTGCATTTTAAAATTGTATGCTAACTACCATGGCAACAGTTTGCATTTTATTGTTGTGAATTTGCAAATTCATCGAAATATGAAAATACAGGACCATATGCACCTGATTGTGATTACCCTTACTGATTTAGACAGTGTCTAGTAAGTGAAAAGATTTTTGTTCGACTTTCTATTCCAGTATTCAGTACTGATATTTGGTAAGCAAGCCCCGCCCCTTTTTATAACGTATTGCTTATGTATCGGAACCAGCAAGATCGGACCATTACAACATTTTGCTCTGAAACTCTTTCATTTAGGAAGCTAAATTCGTGAAAATGTGATTAATATCTTATTTCACCCGCTTTTTTAAGAATATTATATATAAATGTTATTTCATAAAAAGTGTTACCTTTCATTTCAGATAATTCTTTAAGCGGTGCGGTGGTTTCCTTCCGCCTCACAGTCGGGTATACATATGTGCATGTCGGAGAAATACAGCTAAAAGTTAAGTGACGGCTAAGGGGAATAGAAAACAACAAAATCTCAACTAAACCAAAACACAGTAAAACAAAAACAAAATGGGGCGACAGCTGCGGCCTTATGCGCTCGCGACGCTATTCTGCTTAGTGTTCATAGCGAAGGTGAGTATGTATTCTAATACATACATATACATATATGTATGTAGATACTTGCATATAACCGATATAAAATGCTAATAAACAATAGGTCAAATGCTGTAAAAGAAGAAGCTTAATGTCGCAAATTGGCGCCTACGTTTTATCTTTTTGTCAATGAACATACAGACATACATACATACATACGTG